TCAACTATAATAATTTTCTTGACGCGTCCGTCCGTCTGTCTGTCCGTGTGAAGCCGAATTCAACTCGAAGGGGAAAGGAGCTAGAGCTTAGCTCTCTTCGGATTCGGATAGAGCGCCGTCAGAAACCCCCAAACTGATAAAAAAATTATGAAAAAGTTTTAGTTTAAATTATTAAAATTAACTTTGAAAGTTTTTTCCTTAGTAAAAGGGGTGGGGGACGGAGGTTGGGGTGATTTTGGAGATAGTGAGCCAGGTGGCGCGCGTTTCGTGGATGAAAATTTTCACGGGGATTTCATTTCTTTTTTTTCTCTCATTCCATCCGGTCGGTCGTTATTTTTGTTTTTTAAGGAGATTTCGGCTAGGGGAGGTATCTGAAGCCAACAGGAAGGTATTTAGGTAGTTTTTGAAGGGGATTTCAGCCATGGGGGGTATCTAAAGCCATCAGGAAGGTATTTAGGTAGTTTTTGAAGGGGATTTCGGCTAGGAGAGGTATCTAAGGCCATCAGGAAGGTATTTTGGTAGTTTTTGAAGGGGATTTCGGCTATCGGGGGTATCTGAAGCCATCAAGAAGGTATTTAGGTAGTTTTTGAAGGGCATTTCAGCCATGGGGGGTATCTAAAGCCATCAGGAAGGTATTTAGGTAGTTTTTGAAGGGGATTTCGGCTAGGAGAGGTGGGGCATGTAGGATAGCCCGAAGGCCAGATGGTTGCAGTCGCGAAGCGACTGTAACCATCTGGTCTATAACAATTTAATAGCGTTTTCAGTAAAATTTAACATATTTCCAGTGGAAAGACAATAAAAAACTTAGAAAATTTGGGTAGAATTTTTTGTGCTGCTTTTTTAATAAAAATTTGTGGTTTTTATATTTAGGACTAGTAAAAATTTAGAAATATTGCCGTTACTTAAAACAGAAAAACAGGAACCAAAGAAAAAGCTGACCCCCGATAATACGCCAGAACAATCTATTTTCGAAAAATTACCTTTCTAAACGCATTCGTAATACTCTCAGCCCCTTGCACGGCATGGCAGGTGACAATGTCAGCCCATTGACCAATTCTAAAAATACCATAAATTAAATTCCTAAACAAATAAACTCACCGATGGGTGCCCGCCAGCTGCAAGTCGATCACGTTGCCAATGTCAGCGAATTTACTGAAAAAAATTATCTTTTAGCGGAAAGGCTAAAAATACCGATCCTCGAAGATCAGGAAATTGTGCTTCTCGGCGAGTTGGGCGAGTTTGTCGGTAAAATCTTTGCTAAAAAAGAGGTTCATAAATAAAAAAAAATACAAAGCATTCACATACTTGAAATTCTCGATAATATCCGCGTGGATTTTGGCCGCAATGATGTAGGGCCCCGCCGTTTCGGCAAGCTAAACAAAACAAAGAAATAAGAACGGAAACTAGCCCAAACCTTCAAGATCTGCTCGGTCTCCTTGTAGTCGATGGCGATGCAGAGGTTGCTCTTCTTTTGCAGCATCAGCTCGATGATGCGCTTGTTCAACTTGTTGCTGGTCGACTCCTTGCGCTCCGCCAGGGAGAGGCGGCGCTTCTAAAAAGAAATAAAAAAAATTGAGTTGCAAATAAATTCAGACCTGATTTTGATTCATAAAGTAAAAATTTTACCATCGCCTTCCTCCTTTCGCTTCCCGTGTTCGTTTCCGCTTTCTCGAGCTCGGTGCCGATATTCAGCTGGGAAACGGTTTCGAAGGGCAACGTGAGGGCGGTCCGGATCTAAAAAGACAGTATTACTTCAAAAACCTAACTAAAGGCACCTGCTCGAATTGGTCGTGATTCAGGGCGCCGACCGAGACGAGGAACGACAGCACGAGCTCCATGTTCATCAGGCTATGCAGGTTGATGCCATCTTCTTTCAGCTTGGCCGCGCCGCCTTGCTGACGATCGAGCAGGCAGAAGACGTCCTGGACGATTAGCCCGTCTTCGCGCAGGATCTTGACTACCTAAAAACAACGGATTTTCAAAATTCACGGCAAAACTTACATCCTTAATGCTGCCGCCCGTCGTGACGACGTCTTCGATGATGACGACCGTTTGCCCTTTCTCGTAGCGCCCCTCGATCAGCTTCTTGGTGCCGTAGCTCTTCGCCTCTTTTCGGATGATGATGAGGGGCTTGCGGAGTTGTAGGGAAACTACCTAAGAAACAAGTTTTCATCAGAAAACTCTAGCTTACCGCCGAGTAAGGAAGGGCCGCATACGGGACGCCGACAATGCCGTCGTAGTGACCAGGCATTGTGGCGATCATCTCGCGCAGGCAATCGCAGGCTAGCTCCTAAACACAGACTTTTAAAACCATCTTGCACTTACCATGACATCCGGGTATCCAAAACTCTCGCGGAGGTCTATGTAAATTGGAGATATCTGAACAGACAGTTTTTTTTACAAAGGAACCTTCGATACCTGGCCGCTCTTCAGCAGGAATCCCTCCTTCTCGTCGATCTTGAACACATTTCGGTCCTTCATCAGCCGCAACAGGTTCCGCATTTTGGCGGCGTGCAGCGAGGTGTCCTTGTCGAGGGCCAGCATCTTACCTGGAAATGGAATTATTTTCTTTGTCGAATTAAGACAAAAACCTCAAGAGGAAAATCAGAAGTAAAAAAATAACTACATTTAAACTACAGTTTCGAAAAAAGTAAAAAGTTTGCAAAAAAATTGGTCATTTTTGGTCGAAAACCTAATATTTGCCATTTTTTTATTAAATTTTGTAAAATTTTCCGTTCAGAAATAACGAAAACACATTTAAAAACATTCTCAATAAATATATTTGAAACCTTAGAGGCTAAGAAAAAGGTTGTTTCCCCCGATAATGCGAAAGAACCGAAAAATCAAGGCAGGGTGAGCTAAATAGATTTTCTGGAAATGCTATCAGCGCCCGGGGGCAAAATGGATTCCCGTGGTCCGATTGGCGGGCGGGAACATTCGAAACACCTTTGCTGGCCCTTTGACCCGAAAGTGCACTCGCCGTAAAATACGAGGTATTCCTAGCCTGTCTGCTGCCGACAATCCTTATCAATTTCAAAAATTTATACATGCGTACCTATCATATCACAGAACAACGGCAGCGATAAGGGAGTCGAAATTGATAACAACAAATGGGGCCAATGCTTCGCCAACATTGGGAAATCGGAATAATCGAGCGGGAACGGAAACAAGTGATCAGTGCCGGAAAAGTTCAAGCTATTCGAGTCCATAAATTCGTTTGGCGTTCTCTGTTGTTACCCGGGCTACCTAAAAACCAGCGAAATTGCAGCAAAAAACCCATGAATCACCTCCACCGGATCCACGTCCATAAACCCGGCTATCAATTCGCAAATTGCCGCCAGCGTACTGGGCTCATTTCGGTCGAAGGATGAGAACTAAAGGGAATTTTAGAACTTTGTGAGGTTCTTTCGCATTATCGGGGGGGGGGCTGAATTTTTTAAATATAAATCGCGGGTGTTTCTAAATTGTTTTTTACTGTTCCTACACGTAAAAACCTGACGAATTGAAACAAAAAAAATACAAAATTATTGATTTCTCGACCAAAACGATCGGTTTTTTACCAAATTTCGACTTTTTGAAAAGTTTTGTATTTTACATTTTTAAAATGAAGCCACTAAGCATCTCTCGACTTATACAAAATCTCTCCCCCCGCGATAATGCCAAAGAAACCATTGCCAAATCTGATACGTTATGCAATTGCAGCGCCGGCTCGGTCAACTTGTCCCTGATTTCCTTCGGTATCTTCTTGTCGTTGACTTTCGGGAACATGAATGGAGCATCGGTTTCGAGCACCAACCGATTTAGGGGGATAGCGCCCGTCTTCAAGGCGACTTTCACACCGTTCGGCAGTCGGTCTTTCCACAAAAATCCTTGAAAAACGAAAATTTTGGAGATTTTAGGCAATACCTGTCAATCCTATATAAAATCCAAGTTCGATAAACCGCTCGGCTTCCTCGACGGTTCCGGTAAAGCAATGAATAACCGCTGCCGGTAGTTGATCTCCGAATGACGTGAGGATTGATATCTACAGGGTGTCCCAAAAAATATCCCCCCCCCCTAGCCGGCCGCAGACCCACCCGATTTTTACGATTTAGGTATCTATCGAAAGCTCTCGGAAAGGCGATGTCGGGACGCCTGGTCGATTTTCGAAATGTCGAAATTTTTTGCTCGATTTTCGGCCTTTTTCAGGCAAAAAGGACTCGCTTTTTTGTCCAAAACGCAATTTAACCGGTTTAAGCGCTATCCAAGCTGTGTTTTCGCAAACGGCTTTCAAAGAGCTGTCGTTGGGCTGCCAGGAAAGGCATAAAAAATCTTAAATTGCGATTTTTGTAAAAAACGCCTTCTCAGAAAAACATCAGAAAATCCGCGCTTTTCGCAAAAAACATTAGTAAATGATAAAAAAATTTCGACATTCCGAAAATCGACCAGGCGTCCCGACATCGCCTTTCCGAGAGCTTTCGATAGATACCTAAATCGTAAAAATCGGGTGGGTCTGCGGCCGGCTAGGGGGATTTTTTGGGACACCCTGTACAGGGAAAACTATAAATCTTTCCGGTCTTTACCGTATCCTCGGCCGCCTCCCTTTCGTGAATAAAAAGCGGCTTTTTCAATTTGACGGCCATTTCAACTTGCTTTTGAAAGACCTAAAAATCCGTCATTTTTCAGCACAGCGTTTCCAACCTCTCTTTGCACAGGTCGAGGCGAGAAGTCACGATTGTAGTCCAGACCTAAAAACAATTTTTGATTTTTTAAAACTGACAAACCGCATTCACCAACGGCCACGCATTGCGGGTGCGCCCACAGCGTTCTCAATGTATCCAGAGTGCCTTCTTTGAAATCTTTGGCATCGTGAGGGTGGACACCTAGAGAATATTTTTTCGTGGTTATCCTAAAAAACCTACCGGCCGTAAAGTATAAAAACCCGGGCTCCCGTTCGGCCAGCTTGCACACCGAATGACTGATTTCTTCCGAGGTGCCGGTGAGCATCAATTTTTTGATGCCTAAATGTAAAAAAACTTCAACACGTCCTTTAGGTTGAAAGTGGAATACGGCCGAAAGACGAACCCGCTTCTTTCGCTCGCTTGATCACCTCCTCGAGATCATTTTTGTAGGAGGGATGGCCCAGGTTGGCCCCAATGTCCACCAACTCGTACGGAACACGGGATTCCTACAAAAAATGCTTTTCTAAATTTGAAGCTTACGATCGTCATGAGCCTCTTGGTCACCCGTAGGACTGATAGTAATGTCTGGCGTCGCGTTGTGAAAAGTTTTCTCTAATAAAAATCCAACCAAAATTCTATTTATTCAGCGTTTTCACGAAAAATTTTGCAAGGTTTCCACAATTTTTGTAATATGATGGAGCAACGCAGCGATACTATGAACGCGTGGACAACCTGCGGTAACCACATTTTGGTCCGAATTCTCGAATTTAGCTTTGGTAATGGACTCGGTTAGTAAAGCGCCCGCGGGCGCGCCCGAAATTGCGCCCGCGGGCGCGATCACGGGCGCGCCCTCGGGCGCAATGGCCAAAAGGGCCCGCGGGCACGCCCGAAACTCGAAAGCGCCCGCGGGCGCGCCCCAATCGCGTTGTAACGGCGTAGGACGGGTTCTTTTAATGCTTTTATTATTTAAAAAGGGCACTACATCGCTTTTGACGAGGCTGTACTCTATACTTAATGTAGATCTTCACGTTCCCTGAGAAAATGGTCGTACTGCGCACCTGAAATATGTTTTTTTTTTTGCTTTCTTGGCTTTAGCTTTGTTTGGAACTTACAGATACGTTCGAATGCGCGATATACGGCCCTAAAAGTGTAGCTAATTACCTAATTTCCTTTATAAACTTCGTAAGATGTACTTACTTTGTTCCCGCTTCCTGAAAACTTGCTTTGACCGGCTTCTTGCCGACTTACTTTGAAACTCATTCCAAAGATACCACGTCGCGCTTCGCATTTGCAATGATGACCATGATCGTCTGAAAGGTTGGCTCATATAAATCGAGAATCTATAAATCTGAAGCTAAAGTATTTTTAAAGTTTCGAAGGCATTGGTTGCGTAGCAAAACTTTACCTTCGTTACCTGTGCCATGGCGCTTCAAAGTATCGTATTCTACATTCGACGACCATAACCAAGCGAACCTAGTAACGTATTTGTTAATTTATATATGTTTTGAACATAAATAAGTGCATAATCCAGGAACTTAGCCGTTTTTTCGCAGAATTGAAAGGTGTTCACCATTCAAATGCGCCCGCGGGCGCGCCCCTAGTTGCGCCCACGGGGCGCTTTTTGCGCCCGGGGCGGTTTTGCGCCCTTTTGCAAAAATTGCGCCCGGGGCGCAAAGGGTCCAGTTCGGGCGCGCTCGCGGGCGCTTTGGGTTTTCGGGCGCGCCCGCGGGCGCTTTGCTAACCGAGGATAGTCAGAAAAATAAAAATGGGCTTTCTAATTTTATGTTTTCTTATCTTATATAAATTCTTTGTTACTTTATATAAATGTAATGATCATCTTTAGATGGCCGAACAACAATCGATCCCGATCAGCCAGCTCTCCATCGAGCAACTAAATAACTTCCAAAAGGCGCTTGAGGGTGACATTGCTTTTTTCGCCACTTCACTCGAGTCGCTGAAGGGATTTGCGGATAAGGTAAAACTCGCTGTCTTTGCGGAAATTCTTCTTCAGGTAAACCAAAGCATAGAAACAGTGGAGGGCCTAGCGAAGAAGCAGCCTGGCGACATCTCGATGGTCCCGCTCACGGAATCGGTAACACTGTCTAAAATTTATTTTATTGTTGTTTAGACCTATATACGAGCCGAACTTGTTGACCCGAAGACTACCCTCGTTGAATTAGGGACAGGTAATTGCATCCTTCGAAGCATTTATTGTGGTTTAGGGTTCTTCGCCGAAATTCCCGTCGAGAAAGCCGAAGAATTCTTCCGGCGAAAATTGAAGAACATCACAGAAAATGTGAGTGGTTCTCTATCACGTCAAATTCTTTTTTAGACGGAGAAAATCGAGAAAATCCTGCTCGAGAAGCGCGCCTCGCTCGCCGCGATCACCGACGCGTTCCGTGCAAAAGTCAGCGAGCAGATGCAGAACATGCCGATGCCGGCCGGTAAATAAGCGCGGTGCGGGTCTATTTTTAAAATTTGTTTTGCTTGCTTCTTCGCTTTAAACGATCAATCATTTTTGCCCCAATATGCCTCTTGTTACATTGCCGTTTGTGAGTTGCGTTGTTGCCCGGTTCGCGGCCAAAGCGATCATAAAGTTTTATTGCCATAAAATATGTACAGTTTTTATATGAGGCAGTTTTGGTTTTGGTTTCTGGAGATTCATGGGTGGAATATGCGGCCGAGGTATTGAAGTCAACAGCATATAAAAAAACAGCAAACATAGGTTTAGAAGCATATTTTGCATTTCATTAACCGGTCAGTCACATAGAGCATCACGCCACCATAGCTGAAATAGATCAGCATGCTGCCGAGGGCGAGCCAGAAGCCTTTGTTGGAGAATCCGGTGACGGTGTCGATTAGGAAGACTAGGCAGAAGAATATCTGAAAATAGTTCGTCTCTAGCTTCATCGCTTCTTCTGCTTTTTGCTTTAAGCGGATTAAAACTGCAAATGCTGCCTGGGAAGAACGGAACATAAGGGCAAAGTATGGAATTCCTGATGACGGCGGATCGTTTTGAAAGGTTTGCTAACTCTTTCGCATTATCGGGGGGGGGGGTGCAATTTTTTGTGTATGTCTAGAAATGCATAGTAACTTAATAGGAAGTGTTTTGGTACAATAAGATTATATTTCAACTAAAAAATTTTCAAAAGTCTGACTTTGGGTCGAAACATCGATATTTTTTTGTATTTTTTAATGACCTGACATGACATTTTCGAGTTCAGAGTTTCAGAATGGTAAAAACAGCTTAGAAACACTTTCCCTATTTATATTTGAAAAAATGGATCCTAAGAAAAAATTGTTGTCGCCCCGATAATGCGAAAGAACCTGTTTGCTTACCAAATATGACGAATAGCAGAGAAGCGGAGTTGGGTATTTTTTATAGACGCCGATGGCCATCAGGGCGCCCAGGAGGAGCGCGATTATCGATCGGCAGGCGTCGATGATGACGAAGGACTGCTTGATGTCGATATCCTCGCTGCAAAGGGCTTTTTAAAGCTTTTCTGTATGCATTTTCCTCGTACGGCGGGACAGGCAGAATGAAACAAACTTTTCTTCAGGCTGCTGCACCAAATACCACCAAAAGTTGTACACGTGTGGGGCAGGCACAAATAAAATGGTGGGAATAAGTAAGAGTCGCTGAAAAGATTTGAATTAGATACGGAAAATGTGGGATACCTTAAAAGCAATTCGATGTCGCGTCCATATACTATTCATGTATTTCTGAATTTATTAAATTCGCAAGGTGTTTTATTAGACTTACACAAGATCCATGGGGTACGCGCACGCCGTCAATCTGGAAAAAAATAGATAGAAATTCAAGTTTTAGATATATTTTACAGTTTTATTAGTTTCTTAGTCCTTTTTTATTTGTTTTTATTGAAGTTTAAGGTTTTACGTCCCATTAGAGCAGCAATAACTTACTATAGTGTCGTATGCCGAGCTCTCTGCTTTTTCTCCCTCTTCACACTGACGTAACGACAGACCGCGAATCTTGCTGGCCGATTCCACGTCATCCTCGAACGGCGGTGACGGCAGGTTCAGGCTTCCGGTCCGGACACGCGGCCGGCGTGGCCATTTTCGCCACTAAACTTTGTTTATCATAGGTTCTAAAGTTTAAACACTTCGAGAACCTTTGCTAGCAAAATCTATTTTATCGGATGTTCAATTAAATTTCCAACGTATTTTTTTTGTTCAGAATAGACGTAAACCCCCACCCTTTTATTCATAAAAAACTATGTTTAGTGCTTAGCAATAATCTAAACTAATTCCATAACTAGTTTTCCTGATTTTCTTTCGTTTTCCTTACCATCGGAAGCCGGCGCCGCAGTTCTCGCTCGATTTTCTTTCTTTTTCTAGACAGGAAATTTGTTGCCAAATGTTTTTCTAGGAGAATTGCGAATCAATTATGCCGCCGGGTCATCGGTGGGCTCCTCAGTATACCTTATCGCCACAAAAATTGCACCCCCGACCATTTCGAGCAGGACTGGGCGCTTCTCTTCGAGATAGGCAGGCCTGTATTCTGTGACGGATTGGGCAATCGTGGGCAAATTTTTGTGTGTTTTGAGCCTGGCAAGCCGTTTTTGAACGGCAAAATGCGCGTTTTTTATATAAAATCAAAAACTTCGGTTCCTGCGCATTATCGGGGGAGCTTTTGTATCATTCTAGAAATGTTTAGTAACTGAATAGCAAGTGGTTCGATAGCTTTTAGTGAAAAATCTAAAAAGTAGTGAAAAAGTCGAAATTTTGGTAAAAAATCTATATTTTTAACACCTTTTTGCATAGTTTTCACGTCTAGGAATAGCAAAAAGAACATTTAGAAATACTTTAACTATTTATACTTTTTTGTTTCCAAAATTTCGAAGGATTTTTATGTTTCTCCTCAAGAAATCTGATTTTCTTGGACAAAAATTGGTATTTCACCACAAGCTTACAGAATTTTTATATACTTTCCTATTAAGTTAAATTATTTTGATTAAATTATCTGTATTTACGCAGCAGAGTTCAAGTAACACCTAATGCCATTCCTGATAAACCGATTTCGTAGCGCAAGGTCTTAGGTAAACAGCTTTTGCGAATTTTTAATAGGTGGTCGGTCGCATTCTGCAGATCGATGACTCACTCCTCTCATTCGCTCCCCTCTCTCTCTCTCTCTCTCTCTCTCTCTCTCTCTCTCTCCCTGCCTCTCTCTCTCTCTCTCTCTCTCTCTCTCTCTGTTGGCCATTCTTGCAAACATCAGCTGCACGTGATTCTAGAGCCTTAAATTCCCAGGAATTCCAGATAAGCGAAAGCGGAGGCATGCCGTGTTTTCAGAAGGTTACTGCCGATTTCTAGGAATTTACAATCTCAACCAGGGCCCTTGAAATGCTTGTAAAAATGGACCGGTAGTTCCGGAACTTCCAAAAAAAAAACGTAAATTTATCAAAAAATGGTAAAACATTAAATACATATAAATAAAAACGGCGTAAAGCAAAACCTGCTGAAACGAGCACCCTAAAGAATTGCAAAGTCGGTAAAAACAGCAAAATGGTCTGAGGGGTAGTCGTTTTCGGCGTGGAATGGGATCGGCTTGATCGGGGCGCTTCCGCCGTACATTTGGCTCCTAAATACGAACGAAAATTTTTAAATGGATGGTGCCAGCTACCTAGAGGGCTTCACGCGACCCTGGTAGAAGATGAAGTCAATTCGGTCTTGTGCCTCCTCGAAGGCGTAATTATATTCGCTATTCATCTTATTGCAGGTGGACCAGGTTCGGGCTGAAGCAAATAATCTCTGCTAGCCTGCCCTCTCCTCTTCCTCAACAATCTCTGCTAGCCTGCCCTCTCCTCTTCCTCAACAATCTCTGCTAGCCTGCCCTCTCCTCTTCCTCAACAATCTCTGCTAGCCTGCCCTCTCCTCTTCCTCAACAATCTCTGCTAGCCTGCCCTCTCCTCTTCCTCAACAATCTCTGCTAGCCTGCCCTCTCCTCTTCCTCAACAATCTCTGCTAGCCCGCCTTCTTTCACTCACCCGGATCTTTGACCGGATCCGGGAAAAGTGCTCGGTAGCTGTCCACAAATCCCTGATCGGTCAACTCCTTGGTGGCTGGCCACGGCACTGCCCAGCCCCCGTGGATCGACCTGTAAAATTAAGCCAATTAAAATAATTAGTAGTTTTTTAAAGGTACTGGAAAGTCGGATTACTTTGTATCCTCTCCCCAGTCTTGATGGCTAGGCACGTTGAAGTCTCCAGCGACTACGATTGGGACTTGATCGACGATTTTCAGGGCTGCTGCCATCTCCGGGCTGGCCAGGAGGCCACCAAGTTCTTCGGCACGGCCTCGAGAAATAATTATTTGCACCTTCTCTCTCTCTCTCTCTCTCTCTCTCTCTCTCACCTTCCTTCCCGGCATGTTCGGCGCTGAGAATCTGCGAGATGTTGGTGACCAGCTTGTTGTAGGCGAGGTAGGGGCCGTAGGCTCTAAATTCCGAAAATTTTTCCTGCTAGCATGCCCTTGCGGAAAAATCTGAAACTCTGCTAGCTTGCACAGCCTCGAAATTGGATAAAATGACCTGGCTGGATAAGTTTGTCCTTGATGATCTCGGCTAGCCTGCTTGCTTAGGTCACCTACCTAGTCCAAACTTCTAGCCGAACCTCCTGGCTCAAGCTCCTAGCTTCTAGCTCCCGGCTCCTAGCTCAAACTCCTAGCTCCTGACTCCGAGCTAGTGCTCCTAGCTCCTCTGCGTGCCTAGCGATGGCTCAAGCTCATAGCGCTCAACTTCTAGCTAAAGCTCCGAGCCCGAACTCCTAGCTCCCAGTTCCAAGCTCATAATTCAACCCCTAGCTTTTAGCTCAAGCTCCTAGCTTTTAGATAAAGCTCCTAGGCCCAACTCCGAGCTCAAGATCACGACTCAAATTCCTAACTCTCGACTCCTAGCGCCTAGCTCGTACTCAAACTCCAAGCTCCTAGCTCCTTACACCTAGCTCAAGCTCCTTGCTCCTAGCTCACAGTTCCTGGTTCCGAGCTCAAATTCCTAGCTCTCAGCTCCTAGCTCCTGGCTCAAACTACGAACTCAAGTCCCTTCTTAGCTTGCCCGTGCTAGCCTGCCCGGCTCAAATTTCCGCAAGGATCTCTGCTAGCCTGCCACCGACCTTGCCTCCGCGTGCACCGACCAGAAGTTGACGTGCTTCTCGCCGGGGAGCTCGACTTTCGCGTAGATGTACGCGTCATCTTTGTGCGAAACGACTTCAACAATCTAAATTTTACTTTTTAGGAATCCATGCCGGCTAGCAGAGACAATTTGCGGAGTCTTTGTCCTCCACAGCCTCCCAAGCAGGCTAGCAGAGATTATTTGGGGAAACCAGACCCACCTTATGCTTTGTGAGGATCATGACATCTGGATAATCGCGGTCGGGGTGCACGAAATGCCAGCTGGAGGGCAGATATTGGGTGATGTTCTCGGCGCATTTCTCGTACTCGACCTCCTAAAGGGATTAGTAGGTTTATGGGCAGGCTAGCAGGGATTCTTTCGGAACAGAACGGGCGTCTAGCAGAGAGCTTTGAGGAATAGGGAGAGGGCTAGCAGCAATTCGCGAGGAAAAGACAGCTCTGCAGAGATCTTTAGGGAAAATCAGAGCTGGAGAGAGCTAGAGAGAGAGAGAGAGACAGACAGAGAGGGACAGAGAGAGAGAGAGACAGACAGAGAGAGAGAGTAAGAGAGAGAGGGAAGAGAGAGAGAGAGAGGGAGAGAGATACGGAGGGAAGAGAGAGAGAGACGGGAGGAGAACGCGTTTGTGTGCAAGTGTCGTTTCTTTCGCATTATCTGGGGGCGGGGACCAAAATTTTTTCGTAGAAGTCTTCAAATGCCTAGTAACTTAATCGGAAGTATTTTAATCATATTTTTCTTCAAAAAAAAAACGGTTTTTCGATTAGAAAAACGCTTCAAAAATTTCTCAAAAAGCCGTAATTTTGGTCAAAAACGGTCATTTTTGTCGAAAAATAGATTTTTTTTTGTAGTTTAATAAAAACTATTCATGCTTAACAAAATAGCTTTTCATAAAAATAAAGAGTGCCAATATTAGGCAGGCTAGCAGAGGCGATTGGAGCATCAAATGGGCATGGGCATCAAAATCCGCTCACCTGCATTGCCACAATATCCGGGTTAACCAGCAGAATATGCTTTGCGATCTTCGCCACTCCATCGTTCACGTTCCCGCCGCAGTTCCAGATGTTGAACGTCATGACGCGGAAGCTGAAATAAGCAAAGTCATGCTATTTTCGATAACGGCGTGCAACTCAAGAAACATTAAAAAATAATTATTGGTCCGAAAGTGCACCTCGCACAAAACAGATTTTTTGAAAAACCAAATGTTCCTGACAATTGCATTCCACTAAAAGACCAGAAAAGTTGTGTTTTACCTCGGTTGAGCATCAACGCATACCGGTAACAGGATTGATATGCAGAGGATCGTAAGAAAGAACATCTTCTGAAAAAAATTTTTTACACGCCGGCAGGCTAGCAGCGATTGTTGAGGAAGAGGAGAGGGCAGGCTAGCAGAGATTGTTGAGGAAGAGGAGAGGGCAGGCTAGCAGAGATTGTTGAGGAAGAGGAGAGGGCAGGCTAGCAGAGATTGTTGAGGAAGAGGAGAGGGCAGGCTAGCAGAGATTGTTGAGGAAGAGGAGAGGGCAGGCTAGCAGAGATTGTTGAGGAAGGGGAGAGGACAGGCTAGCAGAGATTGTTGAGGAAGAGGAGAGGGGAGGCTAGCAGAGATTGTTGAGGAAGAGGAAAGGGCAGGCTAGCAGAGATTGTTGAGGAAGAGGAGAGGGTAGGCTAGCAGAGATTGTTGAGGAAGAGGAGAGGGTAGGCTAGCAGAGATTGTTGAGGAAGCGGAGAGGGCAGGCTAGCAGAGATTCTTAGGCGCGTATTTCGGGGTGCAGGAGTAATTCTTTGCTCTATAATAGCATTGCCCTAGCATTCCGAGCTGGTTGATATGGGGTTGCGATTGATAAGGCTAGCGAATTCCGCGAGAATTTGTAAGCTTTCGTCCAAATAATGAGCCGGAGAAAATGGAAAAATCGTGGACTTTTTTTGTATAGGCGCTGATTTTTTCGCTTTCTCGGCGGAAGAGGAGCCGAATAATGAGTCATGGTGGAAAAACACACAATAAAAAGGAAGAAAAAAAGCGGGACGCTGCTTTTTTCTGTATTTTTCGCCTGGAAGAACATAGGAGAAAATAACAGATTGTGGGGGGAAATAGGCTTCAAGTCTCGGCAAAATCCATAGGGTGCATGGCATTGCCTGCAGCTTTAAAGGGATACCCAATGTTTTGGTGGCAAATATATAGTTATGTATTCCGGGCAGTACAAATGACGCGGGAATTTCGTGGCAATGAGGCGCCAGTGCCGCACAAAATTCGGACACCTTTCCCTCTTGTGGCGTCCCCATCCCACCCAATGGCTTGCCACGATGGCCTAATGGATAGCATCCTGGCCTACAAAACGGGGGTCCCGGGTTCAACCCCCGCCCGCGGCGTGGTTTTTGATTTTTGAGCCCCGAAAAGGTTGGGCATCCCTTTAAAAGAAGGGTAGCAGCCGTGAAATTGTGCTGTTAATTCCAGCGATTCATTTTGAAAACTATGTTTCACGGCTCGAGCACCAGCAGTAGCTTTTTGTATAATCAATAAGCCGAAATACGTGGCTCGAGAAAATTATTGGCTCATTGTTCTAGAAAAAAAATGTAATTAGGCAAGAAAATTCCCGGGAAACCAGATATTAATTTTGAAAACTATGTTTCAGGGTTCGCACCCTATTGGTAGGATTTGTTAAAAACAATTAGCAAAAGTGAATCGCCAGCAGGGTTGTTCGCCGACGGACCCGGATCGGTAAGGATCCGGATCGGATCTGGATCCGGATCCGGATCGGATCCGCAGTAGGATCCGGATCCAGATCCAGATCCGGATCCGCTCGGATCCGGATCCAATGCGGATCCGAGGAAAAAAGGGACCGGAAGCGATATTCTCGATTCTGATGCTGATTCGGTCATGTTAATCGCAAAAATACATAGCCCAGAGGCAGAACTGATCTTTGCATCTAAGAATTAGCACTTAACTCGGCTGCATGATCCATTTCCTTGGATCCGGATCGGATCGGATCCGCCCTGGATCTGGATCCGGATCCGGATCCTACGGCGGATCCGGATCCGGATCCGATCCAGATCCAGATCCGGATCCAGTCCGATCCGAAAATGACCAACCCTGATCGCCAGAAAAAATTTCTCTGACCATTTTTCAAAAGTTACATAACAAATGGAATTTCACCTGGCTGATTGACCCATTTCAAACCTTTGCAAATTAACACAAAAAATATAAAATTCCTGAAATTTAAAATTTTCGATATATGCGAGGAAATTGGGCTGGAAAACGGCAAGTTTCAGCAAATCTTTTCTATTCTTCGTGCTCCCTTCCTATGCGCAATAAAAGGTAGTAAAATACGAGTACTATTATGTATAATTAAATAGCTACTAATGCATAGAGAAATTCAGGAAAAAAATCGACATTTACCGGGCTCAAATCAGTGCTGAAAACGACAGTATAAATACTATTCCCGCGGGGCGCACAATAAGGCCTGGGAAACAACAGGGAGTGTTTGTGAAAAACAACTAGAAACAATAAAAAATGAATATTAAGTAGGGGGCGACCTAGAAAAAGGGTGAACAATAGCGTTGTTTATCTTCTTGAAGCAGAAAAAGAACGACTGTTTATCTCGGCCTGGTCATAGGGGTCAGATTATAAACATTAGAATTTGAGGGGCAAGCTTGCAAAGACAATTGAGGAATTGTGGCCTCACGGCAGACTAGCAGAGAGCCTTTGTTTCGCCAGCAAACTCTAGCCTACCGAATCCCTTTAAGAAGAGAAAAATGCAGAAAACGCCGAGTCGACGCACTCGCCGAAGCCAAATCCCGAATCGAATCATATCGGGGACCCGCGCTCGGCGGCCCGAAATGAGTTCCCGGTGTGGGACGTTTCCTTGGGGCCCAAGGGCCCAAGAAGACAACCATCTAACCCCTCCACCGGCACACTGGAGGTACTGGCGGTTTTTTGTTACCAGATTAAATGCTACGCTAGTGAATTTTCGCTACTAGTGGGCGAGCAGAGAAAAGTTGAGGAAGAGGAGAGGGCGGGCTAGCAGAGATTGTTGAGGAAGAGGAGAGGGCAGGCTAGCAGAGATTGTTGAGGAAGAGGAGAGGGCAGGCTAGCAGAGATTGTTGAGGAAGAGGAGAGGGCAGGCTAGCAGAGATTGTTGAGGAAGAGGAGAGGGCAGGCTAGCAGAGATTGTTGAGGAAGAGGAGAGGGCAGGCTAGCAGAGATTGTTGAGGAAGAGGAGAGGGCAGGCTAGCAGAGATTGTTGAGGAAGAGGAGAGGGCAGGCTAGCAGAGATTGTTGAGGAAGAGGAGAGGGCAGGCTAGCAGAGATTGTTGAGGAAGAGGAGAGGGCAGGCTAGCAGAGATTGTTGAGGAAGAGGAGAGGGCGGGCTAGCAGAGATTGTTGAGGAAGAGGAGAGGGCAGGCTAGCAGAGATTGTTGAGGAAGAGGAGAGGGCAGGCTAGCAGAGATTGTTGAGGAAGAGGAGAGGGCAGGCTAGCAGAGATTGTTGAGGAAGAGGAGAGGGCGGGCTAGCAGAGATTGTTGAGGAAGAGGAGAGGGCAGGCTAGCAGAGATTGTTGAGGAAGAGGAGAGGGCAGGCTAGCAGAGATTGTTGAGGAAGAGGAGAGGGCAGGCTAGCAGAGATTGTTGAGGAAGAGGAGAGGGCAGGCTAGCAGAGATTGTTGAGGAAGAGGAGAGGGCGGGCTAGTAGAGATTGTTGAGGAAGGGGGAGGGCGGGCTAGCAGGCTGAGGCTGATGCTTAGCTTACTTAGGCTTAGGCTTAGGCTACACACAGAACCCCTGCTAGATGTCTCCACTAGCTCGGATTCTCATCAAAAATCGAAAATTTTTCATCGCTTCAATTTTTTATTGAAGTTGGATGTATTTCTGCTGTTTTAACGCTAATTCCCCAATGATCTCTGCTTGCCTGCCCTCTCCTCTTCCTCTCTCTCTCTCTCTCTAACTCTCCCTTCTCTCTTGCTCGTTTCCCGAGATCATTATCGTATCCCGCCTTTTCAAGGAATGCATACCGAATCCAACGTGACAACTTGTCGTTCAGTGCTGCTACTCATTCGGCATCCCCGCTTTATGACCAGGCCAATTTCAGATACAAAACAACCATTTTCGCAAATATTAGATTTCTATGTTTCTGGAAAATACCCCGAGAGAAGTACTGGCTTGGGAATCAATACTGCTTCTCGTTGAAATTTTGCATTTTTAGAAACCAAAGAGCTACGAAACAGTCAAGGCAATTTTTTTTAAATATTTGGCAACCGTTTTGCGGAGGTTAGCAAATCTTACTAAAATTTCCGGAAATTTAGAGAGTCGAAAAAGAAATGGAATCTTAGAATCAGTGGGAAATTAGATGTTTCTGGAAAGTGCTCAAGTAAAGCAACCAGTTGGCGAATTAATTTCAGGTATGCAGTCAATATCGAATAAGATCGTAGAGCTACGGTAGAGCGGGGGCAGGCTAGCAGAGATGATTGAGGAATTTTTGCGAAACCTTCCACTTTTGTGGAAGGTTCCACTTCCACTTCCACTTCTTCCACCCCAATTTTGTGCTTTTTTGGTCATTTTAAATTCTAAAAATTCTCTACATTGTTTGAATGCGATTTTTGTTTCTAAAAACTGTTCAAAACGCTATAAAAATGGTCTATTTTGATAAAAAATATAGCATCTAATATAGAATGCATTTTTATAGTTTTTAAAATAATTTTTGATGGCTAGAAAGACTTACAAAAGCCGAATTCAAAAATCAAAAATTCCAAAATTTTTCTGATTTTTATAGATATAAAGACCGTATAAAATGCTATAAAAATGATTTTATTTAGCTATTGGGCCGCGCCTTACTTGGGAAAAGGGAAACCCCCCGCTAAGAGACCAGTACCCAAGATTTATACCCTCACCTGTGGCCCGCGGGGTCACATGTTGCCCATCCCACCCCGAGCCCCAGCCTGGGTGGCATTAGTGGGTTGGAAGGGCCCGGGGGCCCTTCCAACTGGGCCCTTTGCTTTGGGGGGTTAAGTGCCCTCGTCAGGGCCCCGCAGCCGCTCCTCATTTATGTGCTTTTATGTGCTTCTTCCGCGACTTCCTTCCCGCCGCCAAGGAATTCGGGCCGACTTTGATACAGCACGGGTTCAAATTGACTCTGCTATCTTGCCCTGGGCCACAATTTCTCAAATTGTTTCTGCCCTATGACGTTTAGAGGCCAGATTTCCACAAATTGCCTCTGCTAGCCTGCCCTATGTCGTCTAGGTGCCAGAATTCCTCAAATTGTCTCTGCTAGCCTGCCATTAGATTTAAATCCTCACTTAAAGGTCACGATTTACGATGATTTTCTCG